TCACTGTGGCTCTCCTCTGTCCTCAGGCCCTGCCTTTGCTGGGACCTTTCCTAGCCTTCCAGCCTGAAGGGTAAGCTGACTCTGGTGACAGCTTTCTGGTCTCCCAGGCTAGGGGAGGCCTGGGCTTGATGCCTTCTCAATGCCCTCCTGCCACAGCAGAAGCCCCTCCCAGACCCGGTGTCCCTGGGGCAGCCCCACTTGCAGGTGACCTCAGCTCCCTGAGCCTGGGCTTTAAAACGCTGGCCCAACTTGGAGCAGATTTTTTTTCATTTGTGAACTGTTTTACCGGCTCCTTGGTATGGCCGCTTTGCTTGGCCCGGCTGGGTGCATCCGCCACTCAGGGAAGCCGCGGAGGCCCAGGAATCTTGGCAGGCTGGGCTGCAGCGGGCCGGGTGGCGCTCCGGAAAAGACTGCAAATGCGAACCAGAAGGCAGGGACAGGAGGTGGAGTACTCCTGCTGCCTGGTGGGGTGGGGGCCTCAAATCAGCCTTGGCAGAGGCAAACGATGGTACCAGCTGGACCTGGAGATCCACAGTTGCCTGGGTCCTGCCCCTGTGGGCCTCTTCTGGCTCCGCTGCCGCTGTTACCTTCCTGGGTGCTTCTCCTCCACCCCCAGGGATGTTGGGGTGTTCAGCGAAGATGCCGAGGGGCAGGGCTAGGGGCCTGGGAAATGAAGGCTGTCACCTGCAGGCTCAAGGTGGTCAGAGAACAAGCTGAGTACCAGTCTCAGTCCGGGGAGGCAACCCAGGGGGAGAGTGGCTGACACAGGCCCCAAGGAGGGAGGCAGGGAGGACTGCGTGCAGAAGGAGGCGCTTGGGTGGGTTTAAAATGAGGAGGGGTGTTTGGTGCAAGGAGGACGTGGAGAGGGCCATCCAAGCTGAGATGGCTATGGAGGCAAAGGTGGTTGCAGGGACACAGTGGGAAGTCTGGGGCATCCATCCTGGGGTGCTGGGGTGGAGCCCAGGACTCGCTGGGCTCTCCTCACTCCCTATGCTTGGGCGGTTTCCCTAAGGTGAGCGTGGCTGTTGGCCATTCTGCAGCAACCCTGGTCCAAGAGCCTGTATTCTTATCTGCAGCCTGTCTGTCTCCTGAATTCCACACCACAGGCTCACTGCCTTCCGGATGTCTCTACTGTCCAGACATTTGCTGTGCTCTTGGCCTGGACTGTCCTGCCACCACCTGTTCCTCAGGGCTAGCAAATTCTGACTTGTCCTTTAGGCCTCCTTCTAAAGCTGCTTCCAAAATTGAGGTCCCTGGGCCGGGGTTTTGGCTCAGTGGTTCTACCGCCTACCTCACAAGTGCAAGGGCCCTGAGTTCGATCCCCGGTACGAAAACAAACAAAAAACAAAATTGAGGTCCCGTGTAGCCTGGGCACCTTGCTTTCCAGGGTGAGAGATGCTTGGCTTTGGATGGAACCGAAACTGGGTTTTTGGTACGGCAGACAAGACAGGCAGAGGCCCACTCCTGTCCTGCCTCCACCTAGAAGGTGAGGGGCCCCCAGACAGCTTCCCGGATTCCAGGCAGCTCTGGCTGTGGAGCAGCTTCAACTGCACATCTAAATTGGGGGATCTGAGAGACTTTCAGTGACTCAGCTGGACACCAGACACCCAAGTCACTGCCAGGACCTGTGGGCTGCACAGGTATCAGCCAGAGAGGGCACAGACCCAAGGTGAGCATGAGGTGTGGACCAGCATGGCTGGCCTTTAAGAGGGTCCTGCCAAGTGACTGACAGCTGTAGAGGTCAGGGAGCAAAGCACGGGACATGGGAGGGGACAGAGAAAGAGAGTCCCCGTTGGAAGTGGTATGCAGATAGGATGGAGGATGGAGACAGAGATGCCAAAGGAAAGATGGGTAAATGAAAATTTGGACTCAGTGACATGGACGTAGAGAAGGGGACACACGACAGCACAGTACCCACCCACATGGCCCCTGCATCCATGAGCTGGTCCCTGGCATCCTGTGCACACGGCTGTTAGGCCTCACGGATTTTCCTCAGGACTCATCAGCCTCCAGTCCCCTTCCCTCCTTCCTAACTGGCTCACGATTGTGAGTCTAAAGTGTGCTCCTCCTCCTGGAAGCCACAGGGATTGCAGAATGACGGACTTCATCCTGTCGGTATGGGGGAGCAGCTGAGGAGACAGCCAGGGCAGAGCTGTACAGGAGTGGACCACAGAGAGCATCGGCGTCACCTGAGGGGGATTAGGGATGCACGGTTGGTCCCACCTCCCACCCCAGGGCCAGGGTGGGGCTGAGAGCATGTGCCATGACTGTCCCCATGGTTCTGAAGTTTGAGAAACTAGTAGGAGTCTGTGTAGTCTGTATTGAGGAGGACAGAGGCCAGGCACTGAGGGCTCATTAAGAGATTTTTATGACCGTGTAGGTAAGGGTTTGGCTATTTGACTTAACAAACCTTTACTGAGGGACTGGGATGTGCCAGACACTGGGCAGCATTTGGGGGAGCACAAGGTCTCTATTAGGACAGAGGCTGTGGGGAAGGAACAGAAGTGAGGGAAATAGAAGAGACAGAGCCCATACATTAGACCGAGGGTTTGAAGGGAAGGGAGCGTGGCACGTGTGTTCACGCAGGTTGGTTACCGCACAAGAGTAAGGGCTGAGCTGGCTGAAGGAAGGGCCCCGAGGCATTGTGTAGGTTAGAGAGTCTTTAGCTCCCTGGAGAAGGAAGGGTCAGGAGAGAGACTCAGTTTTGGCCTGGGTGCCTGGGGTGGGAGAGGAGTAAGTCATGACTGAGAGGGAAATGAGGGCAGTTTGGGTGGAGACGCCTGAGGGAAGCCAGGTGCGATGCTCGGCTGATATTTGAACACAAGTCTAGGGCCGGAGTGGAGGAGCTGGAGACAGGTGTGAGAGTCCCCGAGGATAGATGGAGTCCGGGAGCCGGGAGTGCTGGAGACTGCAGGAGAAACACCCAGAGAGGCCTGAGGGGCTATGCAGAGGCCTGAGGAGTGTCCCCCAGGGAACCTTTCCAGGAAGCAGGAGAGCAGGTGACAGGCAGGGCCAGGCAGGTGCCAAGTGGGGTGAAGAGCCATGGGGAGGCGGGGTCTGACCATTACCTCCAGAAGCCTGGCTGGTGAGGCCTGGAGAGATGAGGGTCATGAAGAAGGCCAGGCCCGCGTGGACATGTGGATGGAGAGGCGGGAAAGAGGCAGCGTCCCCAGAGAATGCAAGGAAAGGAAGCTGGGAAAGGCCTGGGAGAGACGGGGCGGGTGGGGAGTCAGGAACCCTGTAAAGCCTCACCTGCCCTGCTGGGCAGTGGTGGCAGGTCTCATGCCCGGGGGATGGGGTATGGACTCTGTGGCTTCTGGTCTGGTTCATCTTAAGACTCGTCAGAGAAGAGGTCTAGAAGGCCAGAAAATTAGGGCCGGGGATGTAGCTCAGGGGGAGCGTGCCTACCTCACAAGTGCAAGGTCCTGAGTTCGATTCCCGGTACCAAGGGGAAAAAAAGTGACAACAGAAGGCCAGAAAATGAAGTGTGGAGGTGCTTGCCTGTAATCCCAGCACTTCAGTGGCTGAGGCAGAAAAATCTCAAGTTTGAGGTCACCTTGGGCTACACAGCAAGGCCCTGTCTCAAAAACAAACGAACAAAAACAAACAAAAAAAAAACAACAACAAAAAGAAGAACAGAAAATTGACTTTAGGGATTCACCAGGCCTTGGCCTTTGGGAGCCAGTCACCTTCCTTTGAAGGTATGGAAGAAAAGTGCTGCTTCGTAGCAGGAGGATATGTGGTCAGTCTGAAGAGAGGACTCCCAGCTCTCAGGAGCAGGACAGGGCAGCACTCCTGGAAGGGCCGCTGGTTCAGGCAATTTCAGAGGATTCTTTTACAGACAAGGGCACTGAGAGCCAGAGCAGTTCAGTCATGTGCCCCGTGTCACCCAGCTGGTGAGGAGCCGTGCTGGAGTCCAGGGTCTGCCTGGGCCTAGAGGGCCTTAGGGGACCCGGTGCCAGACACCATCTAGCCAGAGCCCGAGCAAGAGCTGCTGCTCCACTGGTGAGGTGCCGAGGCAGGGCAGAGTGGAGGCAGGGCTGGAGACCAGGGAGAGCACAGAGGATGAGGCAGGGGAGCAGGGGACGGGTGGCGGGCAGGCAGCGGTGAGCCTTGGGCAGTGGATCCCAAAGAAAAGTCTCCACAACAGGAAGCATCTCATAACATACCTGTGGTTTGGCCAGCCGGGCTCCCCAAGCCTGCCCTCCACTCACCACTGTTCTGCTGGCTGGGTGGTGGGAGGGGGCAGGTTCCATCCGCCTTCCCCATGGGGCTGCCCACGGCATGGTCCCCTGGGAAGCGGGGGTGACACTCCCTCCTAACTCCCCTCTGTGTCCGGACCTTGATACTCATCTGTGAAATGGGACGGGGAGAGGGCATTTCTTTCAGTCCGATTGGATCACCTGGGCCTTTTGTGCCAGTCACCCTGACAGGACCATTTGAGAGAGGGTTCCTGTCAGCGATGCCCCTTCCTGCTGGTCACTCCCAGGAGGGGGCTCTTCTTTCTGCTGAGCTCCACTCGCCCTCTTGGTGCAAAAGACCCTGGAGTGCCTGCTCCCAGTCAGCCTCCCTGGGAGGAGGCCAGGCTGCCACAAAACGCTGACTTGGACAAAAGGCTGTTTTACGGGGATTTGTTGGAAAGGGGGGAAATCCCTGCTAAGGACTTGCAGCTGTCCAAACAGCCTGTCTGCCCTGCCTCGTCACTGCTCAATCCCCTGAATCAGCGTCTGCTGAGTGTGTCCCCAGCCCTCACCCTGGCAGGATCTGTGCTCTTCCCAGCCCTGCCTCCTTCCTGTCTTCCCTTCCCCAGGTCACCAGAAAGCATGATGACTTGCCCAGGGTCACACAGCCAACCCCTGACGAAGCTGGCTTCAGCCTCAGGATCCTCCCCCAACCCCTTGCTTGGAGTTTCACGTGGGGAAAACGAGGCCTAAGCACATGGCTCTCTCACCTCCTCCCTTCCTAGCCTGTCTGGGCCGCTCTGGTCTGCGCACTCCGAGGAAAGGACCGACTGAGTTACTGGTGGGCTGTTTATCTTTTGGTGCTAGGGATTGAGCCCAGAAGTCCCTGTCTCCTCTTTCATTTTTATTTATGAATATATATACGTATGTATGTGGTGCTGGGGCTTGAATCCAGGGCCTTTGCACTGAGCTACATTCGCAGACCTTCCTGTACTGTTTTGAGACAGGGTGTCACTAAATTGTCTGGGCTGGGTTTGACCTTGCAGTGCTCCTTGCCTTAGCTTCACAGAGCACTGGGAGTACAGGTATGTGGCACTGTGTGGCTTTGTTTTGATTTTTTTTTTTTTTTTTTTGTACTGTGGATTGAACTCCGGACCTTGTTACTTGCAAGGCAGCAGCAGAACCACTGAGCTAAATCCCCAGCTCTGTGGCTTTATTTTGAGACAGGGTCTTGCCATATAGTGCAGGCTGGCCTCAAGCTTTTGAGCCTCCTGAGTGCTGGGATTGCGGGTGTGCTCACCACAACACTGGTTAGGCCCTCTGCCGCACCCTGCTGAGCTGGCTGAAGGAAGGGCCCCGAGGCATTGTGTAGGTTAGAGAGTCTTTAGCTCCCTGGAGAAGGAAGGGTCAGGAGAGAGACTCAGTTTTGGCCTGGGTGCCTGGGGTGGGAGAGGAGTAAGTCATGACTGAGAGGGAAATGAGGGCAGTTTGGGTGGAGACGCCTGAGGGAAGCCAGGTGCGATGCTCGGCTGATATTTGAACACAAGTCTAGGGCCGGAGTGGAGGAGCTGGAGACAGGTGTGAGAGTCCCCGAGGATAGATGGGTGGATGTGATGGTGAGTTGAGTTCATCAGTCATTGAGAACATCATTGTGCCTTCCAGGCCCTGTGCCGGGCATGCAGAGGGGCAGTGTGAGGACAGGGAGAGCGAGAGAGCCCAAAGGAGGCACCGTGCGGTGGGCTTCTCCGTGATGTGCAAGGCCCAGTGAGAGTTCCGGTGCAGAGGCTGTGAGGAGCAGACCAGAGCGTCCCAGGGAGCCAGAGTCCATGTGGGGCTACAGTGACAGGGACCGGTGAGCGTGGGGCTGGGTGGCTGGGGCGGGCAGGCTGCCAAGTTGTGCACCATTTCCTTCTGCAGCCCCTGGAGCAGGCTCCTCATCCCACTCCCAGCCCCACACCCCTCTACATGTCCTGACTTCTCTCTGTCCTGGAGCCCAGTGACCTCCCTGCAGCTGAGGAGAGCCGCTCCTTTCAATCTGCCCTGCTCCTTGGCTTCTGCTCTGGTCTCTGGCCTTGTCCTTCCCCATGTCTGTCCTTTCCTAGCCAGTGTACACATCACCGTGCTGCTCTGACCTCAGTCTCCCCATCTGTAGAATGGGCACCTGTAATAGCATCTCTCTCTCTCTCTCTCACTGGACAATTAAATGCCTTCGGTGCAGAACTTTTAGGTGGCCCCTGACACCTAGCTTCTGAGCTGTGGTCCTCATTTATTCTCTTCCTTGTGGAAATACCTGCTCAGGTCCTGGCATCTGACCGGCCTCTGACCTCTCATGTGCGTGTGTGCACTCGTGTGCACTTGCACACAGAGTACTAGGTAGAAGGTGCTGGGAGTTACAGGGCCTGGGTTATAGGACGCTTCCTAGAGGACTCCCTTACCCAGGAGGGATAAAAGGTAGGCACCTTGCTAGGGGGCCTTTCTCCTCGCTTGGCTCCCTGTTACTCTATTCCTGTCCGCCCTTTTGGCTGAACCCCACCACCCCAGCATGGGAAGTGGGGTGGGCCTCCCCAGAGCCGGGGCTACCCTGGCTTCTCTTGTGGTGATGTCGTGACCTTGGCCCTGGCCTACCTAAGCCATAAGCTGCTCCCTGACTCTGCCTCCTGCCTCACACTGGGGGTGGGGAGGTGAGTTCAGGTGGCCAGGACAGCGGGGTTAGGGTGGGCTCGGGAGTAAAGCCTCCTGGCTGGTTCTGCCCTACGCCTGCCCTTCCTGCCTACGAGGTTAGCTTAGTTTCCTGCTCATCCTCCAAAGCCCTTGTGTGTGAAGTCTTCTGGCAGTTCTCACCGCTTCGCATCCCAACCTGTCTCTGACAGTGTTGAGAGCTGGGGCGCAAGGCCTGGGCGGGAAGAGGCCCAGGCTCCGGGCCTTTCACTTGCCATGGGGGGCTTGGGCAATAATGATGTGAATGTTCACTGCAGGTTCTTCATAACAGCCCCAAGCCCTCTGAAAAATCGAGATGAGCTGTGTCCATGCAGTAGACTTTTTCCTTCTTCTCTTGCTTCATTTCTCATCAAGAGACAAGGTCTCACTTTGTTGCCAAGGCTAGCCCCAAACTCCTGGGCTCGAGCCTCCAAGTGCTGAGATTATAGGTGTGTACCATCGTGCCTTGCTAGACCTGCTGGTTTTGAAGACTATTAATAAACAGCCTGCTTCTTAGAGCCATTGTGACCAGGAGAGAATAGCATCTGGCTCGGAGCCGGCACCCATCATTCGAATGAGGGCCTGTTTGCGTTTTCCCGCCCAAGGAAACCCCCTTTCCCTTATGCCCTGCTCTAGGCACCCTCACTTCACCTGGGGACCTTTGCACCTGTGCCTGGCAATGGCTGGGCTCCCAGCTCGGGGCCGCTGCAGCTCTACAGAAATGAAGGTAGACTCCGGAGAAGATCCATGATCTGCCAACCCGTTCCCAGTTCAAATCCTAGCTCTACTCTAACCTGCTGTGTAGCTCAGAGGTCACTCAGCCTTCCTGGGGCCTCAGCATGATAGCAGCACCTACTGTGTCCAGGCTCTGTACGGCCGGGCCCTGGCTCAGGATTTCAGGCCTCAGCTCACACTCAGTGGTAGAGTACTTGCCTAGCATGTGAGTCCCTTGATTCATCCCCCAGCACAGCAGACAAAAGAAACAGAAGTTCAATACCCAGTACCAAAAAGGCAATGGAAGTGGAGACCACAGAAATCCTATCCAGAATATACACCTTGGTTGTGCCAGGACTGAAGCCTCTCCTAGAGCCACCTGGGGTCTGGGTGCTGTCAGGAATTCTGGGTTATGAGGTGCAGGTAAGGGAGGGGATTGGGCAGTAGACTGTGGGTTTGGTAACATAGGCACAGAGCAGGTTAGAAGCCCTTGGCTTGCTGGGCACAGTGGTGCACACGTCTAGTCCCATGGAGCCTGAGGCAGGAGGGTCACAAGTTCAAGTCCTGCCTGGGCAACTGAGAGACCTATCTCAAAATTTTAAGAAAAGGAAAAAGGGAGGGGTTTAGGGTTGCAGCTCAGTGGTAGAACACCCCTTCATTCAATCTACCAGTATGGGCTGGGGATTTAACTCAGTGGTTCTGCTGCTTGCCTTGCAAGAACAAGGACCCGAGTTCAATCCCCAGTACCAAAAAAAAAAAAAAAAAAAAAAA